TTTTTATCTGTTGATTAGGGCCGGAGGAAAGTATTGTTGGGTTGGTTGCCTACCTACGTTTTCCCTCCCACCCACCCCTTCGCATGCATTTCCGGGTTCGTACAGTGCCATGTCAGCATTGCCAAGCAGTGCCACGTCACACAGTGCCACGTCACACAGTGCCACGTCAGCAGTGCCACGTCAGCAACAGTGCCACATCAGCAGTGCCACGTCACACAATGCCACGTCAGCATTGCCAAGCAGTGCCACATCACACAGTGCCACGTCAGCAATGCCACGTCAGCAGTGCCACGTCAGCAGTGCCACGTCAGCAGTGCCACGTCAGCAACAGTGCCACGTCAGCAGTGCCACGTCAGCAGTACCACGTCAGCAGTAACAGTGCCACGTCAGCAGTGCCCCGCCACCATGACGGGCACAGCTCTGGGCATGCCAGGCCAACTGGCCAACGAGTCTCTTGCCGACTACAAACAGCGGTTCCAGCCTCAGCTCGCTCTGATCGAGGCTGAGGAACAGCGCCAGCTGGCAGCCGAGGCTGCCCGCCTACAGGCTGAAGCAGCGGCTACAGGCCGAAGCAGACGCAGATACCCAGGCACGCCGCAAGGAAGCCCAGGTTCTGCAACGGCATGAAACCGCCAGCATCGAAAGACTCAAGTTCTGGCACTTTGAACCCAACGGTGACGACGCGACACCGGAAGAGCAGCACAAGGAGTTCCTCTCCAAACTCGTGACACGGTTGTTGTACACTTGCAACTACCAACAGTCCGAGTTAGAGAGACAGAACCAGGAACTGCAGCAACAGTACCAGGATCTGAAGACACAACACCAGGAGTTGGCGAACCTCCGCCGGATAGTGCAGAGCCACGAGGATGCTACATGGGCACTCAATTCCCGTGTACTGGACCTGGAGCAAGTTGTAATAGGACCAGATGCTGGTGAGTCCAGCAACGCACCCTCTAACCGCCAACTGGAGCAACGCGTCGACCACGTCGTCGCAATGCTCGGCGACATCAGCACCTTTGCTGCGCCGACCACCATCAGATATCAGTTGGATACTTTGAAGACCGAGTTCCAGCAACTGCAGTCGACGAACACGGATGGCAACAATCCAAAGCAATACAAGATGCCAACTTTTCAACTTGACAAGTTCGACGACTACACGCATCAGGACCCGGTGCTCTGGTGGGAAGCTTTCACGACGCAACTTAGGATTCTGCCTGTCGCCAAGCACGTGTACATTGGCGCCCTGTTCATGAACTCGAAGGGTGGATGCCAGATCTGGTTAACCCACCTGGCAGCCACCCACGGCGTCGACGTCGCAGATCTGAAAGACAAGATCACATGGGAAGAGTTAACACGGCTGTGGAAGGAGCGGTTCATCGTCGACGACGCACCTGCACTCGCCATCAACCGTCTCTTCACCATGACTCAAGGCAACACAGCAACACATGACTGGCTCACGGAATGGCAGAAGGGACTTACCATTTCCGCATCTGCGCCGTGAGTTCTACAATAGGTCATGCGCTGCGTTGAGCCAAGCACTTGGTGATCGCGAGCAGTATGCAACTTTCGCCGAGATTATTGACAAGGCAAGAGAGATCATCAAGACCAACAGGGCGGCTGCACACGAGAAGTCAACGTGGCAGCCAACCTATGTGGAGAAGGTGAGAATTGGTCCGCGACAGCAGCAATTCGCTGCAGTCCAATCGGACACTGTGGAAGACCCGGCAGCCACCCAAGCGTCACGTGAGGGCGATCAGGTGGCTGCTGTCCAACCTCAAAGCAACATCAAGCCCCGAGTGAACGGGAAGGCGAAACCAGCATCGCGGGCCGGAAACGGACAACCAGCACCACCATGGGTCAAGTTCAACTTGACCGAGGCCGAGTACAAGTACCGCAACCGTTACGGCTGCTGTTACTGTTGCAACAGCACCAAGCACAAGACCTCCCTTTGCCAGGATCAGGCCAAGGAGGATGTGCGGCCTCGTCTTAACTCGGGAAACTGAGTTTCGCGGGAGGTGAGGCGACTCCACCTTCCACTCCACCAGATTCGGCCGCCTTGCTAGCGGCCTCCTACACATCTGGGGAGGATGCGAATGTCGTAAGTTCTCGGTGTGCTTACGAGGACTATGCTGTCCACTTGGTCCCACCGCTGGACCAACCGCTCCACGTGCAATACTCTACCGCATGCACGGTTTCATCACCATCGGCAACCGATTCGGCAGCTTCGCCGCCATCTACCGCCGGGGATTCAACGTCATGGTCAAGACTTGAAGAGCTCGACCCGTTGACATTTGCGGACTTCCAATGGATGCCCCTTCCCCGGTCCGGTTGATTGCCGAAACCGCATTGCAACATGCTCAAGGCACAATTGCGGGATTACTTGCACACTGCAGTACCGACTCCGTTGATGGACGCTGGAGTAGAGGTTGTCGACCTTCACGCCTATATTGCGAAGATCGACCGTGAGTTCAAGACGCAACGGTACGACGACATCGACGCACCATTGCTATATGTACGCATTCAGATCGGAGAGGCGACCTGCAGCGCTTTGATCGATTGCGGAGCATCTCGCAACTACATGAGTCAGGACTTCAAAGTACGCGCCAGCCTTGGCCCACGAGTCCGAAGGAAGTCCCAGCCCACGCAAGTCAAGTTGGCAGACAGTCACACGCACAAGTCAATCGACCGGTGCATTGATGACGTCCCAGTGTACTTTGCCCCTCACGCAAGTGAGGCGGTGTCCTTTGACATTCTGGACACCAAATTCGACATGATCTTGGGCATGTCATGGCTGCGAAGCGAGGACCACCCGGTGAACTTCTACCGCCGCACCGTTCACGTTCGTGATCGAAACGGAGTACTAGTCCCATGCACGGTAGCTCCTCCTCACCCTTCAGTCAGCTGTCAAGTGGTATCCRCCGCAAGCATGCGAGCTTCCATCATCAGAGACGACATCGAGGAGATGGGGGTGTGTTTTCTCCACGCCCTCCCGCCCCATGAMGCTTCATCGACGGACTCATCTTCGGATCCACGCATCACCGAACTTCTCGACGCCTACAGCGACGTGTTCGAAGGCCCGCACGAAGTAGTACCGGATCGGTCCATCCACCACGAGATCATCCTTGAGGACGGGGCCGTACCTCTGCGCGGTTGCATCTACCGAATGAGCGAGGAAGAGTTAAGTGTGCTTCGGGCACAACTCGACGACCTTTTGGAGAAAGGTTGGATTCGGCCTAGCTCATCGTCATACGGTGCTCCTGTTCTCTTCGTCCGGAAGAAGAACAAGGATTTGCGGTTGTGCATCGATTATCGCAAGCTCAACGCGCAGACGATCAGAAACGCCGACCCTCTCCCATGCATCGACGACCTTCTCGAACGACTGGGAGGCGCCAAGTTCTTCTCCAAGCTGGACCTCAAGTCGGGATATCACCGACTCGAGATTCGGAAGGAGGATCGCTACAAGACCGCGTTTAAGACGCGATACGGGCATTTTGAATGGCTGGTTATGCCATTTGGCCTTATTAATGCCCCGGCCACTTTCCAAGCGGCTATGACAACGGAGTTCCGACACATTCTGGATCGATACGTACTTATCTACCTCGACGACATCCTGGTGTACAGCCGGAGTTTGGAGGAGCATGTGGAACACCTGCGCACCGTTTTGGAGCGGCTACGACAGGCCAAGTACAAAGCCAACCGCGACAAGTGCGAATCCGCACAGCAGGAGCTGGAGTACTTGGGACATTATGTGACGCCGCAAGGCATCCGTCCGCTTGCGGACAAGATCGAGGCCCTACGAGTATGGCCCGAGCCCACCAACACCACGGACGTTTGTTCATTCATGGGATTGGCGGGCTACTATCAACGATTCATCACCGGATACTCGAGGATTGCTGCACCTATGACGAGATTACAATCGCCAAAGGTGCCATTCGTATTCGATGACGACGCACGCCGATCATTCCAAGCACTTAAGACGGCTATGCTCATGGCACTCGTCCTTAGCATCTATGACTACGGACGCTTCCGGCTATGGCATTGGGGCAATCTTGGAACAGCACGACCGCGACGGCTGGCACCCGATGGAGTATTTCAGCCACAAAGTGCCTCCCATCAACTCGCTTGATGATGCAAGGAAGAAGGAGCTGCTTGCATTCGTGATGGCTCTCAAGCGCTCGCGGCACTTCCTCCTTGGGCGTCGTAGGTTCACATGGGTCACAGACAACAATCCATTGACCTACTACAAGACGCAGGATACGGTGAGCAGCACGATTGGACGATGGATGTACTTCATCGACCAATTTGACTTCACACCGAAACATCTTCCCGGCCTCTCCAATCGCGCAGCAGATGCACTCTAGCGAAGACCTGATCTTTGCGCTATGACACATCATGCCTTCGCATTCGGCGAGGAGCTCCACCGACACTTCATCAGGGGCTACGAGTCCAATCCAGACTTCGCCACGCTATATGCGCAGCTATCTTCGGATCACTCGCCGGCCAGCCACTATCGCATCGCCGATGGGTACTTGCTCGTGCACTCGCGGGGCAAGGACTTACTATGTGTCCCACGCGACCCCCATCTTCGGACTCGCCTCCTCGGCGAGTATCATGATTCGCGACTCGCCGGCCATTTCGGAGTCAACCGCACTATTGCACGGCTTCGACAACGATTCCGATGGCCCGACCTCATCACCGATGTCACGAGGTATTGCAACTCTTGCGAAGTTTGCTGTCGAAGCAAACCCCTCAACCCCAACCCCTACGGCGAGCTGCGCTCGATGCTGATCCCGCAGGAACCCGGTCTCTCCATTGCCATGGATGTCACCGGACCATTCCCCCGCAACCGCCTCGGACACGACGGCATCCTCACGGTCGTGGACCGACTGAGTAAGTACGCGCGTTTTCTTCCTTGCAAGTACTACTCCACGGCTCTCGAGCTGGCACGCCTCCTGCACACCGGCTGGATTTGCGGCCATGGTGTACCGGAAGACATAGTCAGCGACCGCGACACTCGCTTCATGTCGGCATTTTGGACTGCACTCATGCAGGAGTCCGGCACGAAGATGAAGCCAAGTTCGGCTCGGCATCCACAGACAGACGGGCAGACGGAGCGGGCACATCAAACCGCTCAAATGATGCTTCGTATGCTCATCCGTCCGGACCAGAAAGATTGGGTTGACCGCCTCCCCGACATCRAGTTCGCCTACAACACTTCGGTGCACCCGGCGATCGGCGTGACTCCATTCGAGTTGCACCACGGTGAACGAAAAGGTCGTATCTTCGCCGACCTTCTCCTCCCACGACCAGCCGACATCGATGCCGCTTACTCTCCCACTTCCGTCCGGAACTACAGGGAATTGCTGGCTCAAGCCCGCGCAAATATGCAAAAGGCTCAAGTCCGCATGCAGCAGCAAGCCAACAGGCATCGCGTGCCATGTCCCATCCGCGCCGGCGACCT